CAGTGTAAAATTCTTGCTATAATTGCCTGATATTTTAGTTTACTAATGTTTTTTTATAAAAATGAGAAGACGTTCACAGCGAAGAGACTCTTTTCGACGGCGAATTCATTCACACAGCTGTCGAGTATTAAGACAGATTATGTTTATTGCAAGTACAGTGATTGAACGAACTTCTTCTATGCACAGAGTTCAGGGCTTCTTAGCAAGTGAATTGCCATTGTTTCTGCAGTTTGAAGAAGTCTGACTTGTACACTTTTAGGAACACTTAACAGCATGATTTTACAAAGGAGAAAAACGATGCCCCCCCCAAGCAGGTTTATCTTAGAACATCTGATAGATTTCGAACACCGAGCTACACCCCAAACAAAACTTCAAAGTCATCTACCGAATATGAAGCAGCCTTCCTAAAGGTGTACGAGTCAGACTTCTTCAAACTGCAGAAGCAGTGGCAATTCACTTGCTAAGCTCTGAACTATGCATACCGAAGAAGTTCGTTCAATCACTACACTTTCAATGGACGTATTCTATCTTAATACCCGACAGATATGTGAATGAATTCTCTGTCAAAAAGAGTCTCTTCGTTAAACATCTTCTCTTTTTCATATGACTCTATGGGGATTTTTAAGCTACTTAAATAGTATAATCCTTTCATTATGATTTTGTAACTAGTATTGCCATTGTTCATAAGATAACTTGTATTTCGCAAATATATTTCATCTGGACATCTTCCGTATTCACACTGGATTTCGTCCATTTATATTAATTAGGTAATTTCACACACTTATTGCGTAATTCCATCTTCCATCTCTTGTTTTCTAATCTCCACTTATCCGTTCCCTTCTAGATTACATCTTACATGGCATAATACACTTTCTGAATAGTCTACAAGGTCACCTTATAACCGGAAGGTGCTAGACTCAAACCCCATTGGGTGCGTACTGCCGATGAGTCCTAGACTAGGACGAAACAGCTGTCCAGAATCACTGATAGTTTTCAACGATTTTTGAACTGATTTCAATCCATAGTCAAACTTGTAAATCATGAAGAGTGACTCCAGTAGCGAATCGTGTCACTGTTCAGGGAATCGGTTGGAATTCAGTTACATAACTGAAAATCAATATTATGAATAGGGTATGGGAGGCAAAGGATTACGGCTTGATAACAAAAGTTGTCACTAGAAAACTGATGACTTCACCAGGTAGTCTGAGGATGTATTTATATACACAGAAAAAAAACTCATCCATCCACTCTCCTTCTACCTTGAGTATAATTCTAAGCTCAGTTGTTATGGATATTCTGTTATTAACACGTTTTTTGGCATTTTTCGCTTGCCAATTATTGGCATCTTTAAGTGTTCATCCGACGGATCTTATTGGTCACAGGTTTAATCGCTAATCGATATCAATTAGAAAACTAAGAAGAAGGAATGGATAGCTATCTGATCCTCGTTTCAGGCTGTTCACTGGTTAGCAAACACTGGCTACAGGGGCGAGCTGCTAGACCTTTCAGTCACAGAGACCCGATTCAGTTACTCGTCGGTGATAATGGCTGGCGATTGCGCTGTAAATCGCAAATTGGTAGAAACTGGAATTCATGGCTGGCCATTGGACCGAGCCCTAGGGCTGAAGGGTCTACAAGTTCACCTTGTAACCAGCATGTGGATGAATACTGCTGAAGAACAGTCCCAAGCTACGACACTACTCCCCGGTTTTGGATTTCTTAGCTAAGTTTTCGTTCACTCTGTTCACCTGTCACATAATACATATTTTGACACTTGTCTCCATGCTTTTTTCAATAACACCTGATTTCTCCGAACGACTTCTCATATTACGCAACCCTCAGTTAGCACCTTGGTTGCAATCTAATTAGTCTTCGCTGATTTGAAGTATTCTAATGTTCTAAACAATATTCTTATGCCATGTTTGTGACATATATATATAGAGACCTAATTTTCTACATGTCATTTTTACGTGTGTGTTTGGACTTCTCTCTGCCCACTTATTGATTTATGACCAAATTTTCTCTCACCCTACTTATGACCTTTAAAATCTTATTGGTTGTTTACTGTCTTAATTTTTCAGTGAAATTTGTGCTTCTCAAGGTCATTTCAAACATATATACGTTCAGGCACTATTAGCTTTTTCTGACTGTTGTTTTGAGACAGTAAAAGCTTCCTGACCAACGTTCAGTCTTCTCTCCTATCTTTTCACCCCGGGCAGTTAGGATAGATTAGCCAGCACATTAAAGTAAGTCTTCGCTCGTAGTCAACTGGTCATAGTTCCAGTCATAACAGTTTGACAGACTTAATGCACATACACAAACATACAAAATAATTATAGATAATTGAAATTGTACAGCTAAGTGAATGAATTCGCTACAAAAAGAGTGTCTCATTGCTGAACGCCTTGCCCTTATTTTCATGTCTGGATGGGTATTTTACAGAAATCTATAATTATATCAATGGTCGAGTGATAAATTCTCATTGTTAGGGATCATGTACCTATGAAAAAACACGAGTCAGGCAACAGAGGTTGAAAATACATCTTATGTTAAGTACCTTGGGCTGAGTTTTTCCACCGATCATTCCTGGTCCTCCCACATCTTGCTAGTTACTAGAAAGATGTTTCGCTTAACGTTCTACATTAGGAAATTTAGGCAGTCTGGTATAAAGCAGTCTTTGCTTTCTCAGTTTGTAAATTCTTGTATTCTACCCATCCTCCTTTACTGATCCCCATTAGTCTTTCCTGGACTACTTAAGAAAGACTTTGCTTCGCTGAGAAGGGCACTAAAAGCTGTTAGTAGGGCAAGTGGGATATCGTTAAACCAACTGGTGAACACTATTGTGGATAGACATATAATGTCATGTAAGAGACTAGCGAATACAATATTGTCGGACCCGAGCATCCTCTCTATACGCATCTATCTCCTTGCATTTCATCTGGAAGAACTAGAAGCAGCTATAGGAGGCTATATGCTAGGACTACCAAATACAAAAACTCCACAATACCATATCTGGCACAGCTGTTATGTGATGAGAAATCCGTTAGGTATGACACGATAAACTTACTGCAGCACTCTAACAAATAGTCTCATTAGTTTTTGTTTTCCTTTCCTCGTTACTACTACACTGTTGTTCTCATCTACTACCACACATCAACTTTATGTTTCAAATCCTGTGGTGCATTGTTTGAAATGAAATACTCTATGCTGTTTGTTTTCTTTTTTTCTTAATTTTTAATATTTATTTATTTTATTTATTTTCTTTTTATTTATTTTGATTTTTTAAAAATCTTATATAATTTATGAGGTAATTAGATGCAATATACTGTAAATGCACGCTGAAAATTCCATACCTGTACCACAAATACTGTTTGGAATAAAGCTGTTATTATTATTATTAAACCCTTAATTTTAAATACTCCGAAAAGCTGCTTTCCCGTTTCTCCTGATAAAAGAAAGCTTTAGATCAAAATTAAGAATTAATTCCACATTTGAGTGGCAAACATGACTCTGTATACTAATGATTGATTTAAATAGTGCTTGTAAGCCGACCACCAGGTCGTAAAGAGCTAAACACCGGAGAGGTGTTTCACTTATTCGGCGCCGAGTTCGTCAGTGGTGTACGCCATACGACTCAACTAAGAGAGGTGTATTCTGAAACATCCCTGTCATCATGGCTATTTTGTAGATATTAGGTCAGGAAGGAGAAATGTCCAAGAAGCAATTATCAATGCGGTTTTCACAGACAATTACTAATTGTTTTTTAACTCTTGCAGTTAGTAATGGTCATGGAGTTAGCTGACATAGATTTTTATCGAATGATCTGAATTGAACTGGATACAGCATTACTGAACTCGACTCCAAACGTGTTAAGACCAACTTTAATTTATGAATGTCATGAACTTACACGGACATGTTTAATTTCTTCTCCATAAGCTGCTAATGGATTGACAACTTTACCAACAATTCGATCAACCTATAAATTAAAAAACATATAAATCACTTATTGATTTATCGATTACTTCAGTATGTCGATAATCTTCCACTGTAGCAAGATATTCTGATACTTTATGTAATGCTTCTGAAGTTGTACGACTTATTTTCTCTTTAAGTGAATAATCTAAAATAATTCGAGAGATTTCATCACCTAAAATTCAATAGATCAATATTATTGATTGATTGACTGATTTTAATTTCAAAACTTACCATTATTACGTAATTTAGCTGTACGTCTTGTATAATTTACAAGTTCTGAGCATAAATCACCAAAAAAGGCTTCAATTTCATTGATACGTTGATTGACAAATTTCGCTTGATTTTCACTAAAATATAAATATACAAATATATACTTTTTTTTCAAGTATTGATTTTGTAGGGATTTCGTTTGATTGGATGGAGGTTTTCATCATGAGCTGACATTAGTTAAAAAACCACTGGAAAACCTAGGAGTACTGGACAGCTGTTTCGTCAGCCTAGTTTGGGACTCTTCAACCGGACCAGTAGGGTACAGCAGGTTGAAGATGAGGCAGTAACCCATTGAAGAAGACATTGTGAAGTGGTCGCGCTATGTCATGAATTGGCAGAAGTTAGAATTCATGCACTGGCTGGTCATTGGATCTGGTCCCAGTGGCTTAATGGTTAACGAGCTCGTTAGACGTGTAACTAGGAGATCCTGGGTTCAACTCTGTCGGTGGGTGTGTAGTGATGACGAGTCCCAAACTAGGCGGACAAAACAACTGGCTGCCCACTACTCCCTGGCAGGTTTTCCAGTGGTTCTCTAACTAATGTCAGCTCATGATGAAATCCTCTATCCAGTATATTTACATTTCTTTAGACAAAATTCTTATATATAAATAATGAAACCAGGTGTAGTAATAAACTTGTTATGCACTTAGATAGGGCATTCATGTAAAATCAGCCTAGTGAATAACTTTCAGTGATTAGTTTCTAGGGGTTTGATTTATTTTAAGTTCGATCATGAATTGATATCAGTCAGAGAAGCGGTGTAAACCAGGAAGTACTAGATAGTTGTTTCGTCCCAGTTTCGCCCTCTTCATCGGTACACACCGATGACCCCAAAAGAGATAGACTCCCGGTACCTTTAGGTTACAAGATTAAGCTTGTTGACCATTCAACTACTTGAACTGGGAATTCAGTAACCAGTGAATTCTAACTCCTGCCCATTTTCGCGATTTCAGGGTGACTGCCAGCCAATATGAGCGTTGAATATTCGTCCTTATACCCGACCTTGTGGAACTCACCGGTCATAAATTCTCACTAAAACGCCAGGCAACATCGTCCTGCAGCCAATGACTCCCCAGGATCAGATTATTTTCGAGAGTTAGTTTTGGTGGTTGTGCGAAAATCACAAACTGACAGAAGTCGGAATTCACGGTCATTGAATTTCGGTCTAAGTAGCTGAATAATCAACGGAGTTGACCTTATAACCTGAAGGTTGGGAGTTAGGTCGCCCCTGGCGAGGTCATGGATGCGTAATGCTAGAGAATCGCTAACTAGAACTAAACACCTACACAGTAGTCCATGGTTTATCATGGTTCTGTAATTGATTTCAGTTAGTGAGTGGAGTGAGTAACACTTTGACACTTGTGTGATCATAGATGTTTGTTCTTTTATCTCCTGTGTTGAGTGGTGAAACACCAAAAGCAACAGTAATAACAATAACAGACAACAATCAGCCAACATAAATGGGAGGAATCTGAAAGAAACAACCTCCTTTACCTATCCACCCACCTGGGAAGCATCGTTTCAACTACAGGTGGACGGAATTGATGAGGATATCAAAGCAAGGATCGGGAAAGCAAGACAAGCTTTCATTACTCTCAAGTCTGTGTGGAGGTCAAGAGCATTCAGCATGAAAATTAAAATGAAATCCGGATTTTCAACTCCACTGTGAAGTCACTGCTACTATATGGATCAGAGACTTGGCGCGTCATGAAGAGCACCTCAAACAAACTATGGACCCTCATCAACAGCTGCCTTCGCTCAATACTTCAAGATCAGACGGCTGAACAGATGAGATCAGCAACAGGGACATCTGGGAGCGAACCAACGCAGCAGGGACCGATTATGCAACAAATAAGCAGGAAGAAATAGAGGTGGATTGGCCATACTCTGAGGAAACCATCAAGTAACATCACACGACAGACCATCGCTCGAGTGGAACCCGAAACCCGGGAAGCGGCGAGTTGGTCGTCAGTGCAAGGGTGACTTGAAGGAGGTCATGTGAAGAGGAGATGAAAGCAGGTGGGCAGACTTGGAGCCAGGTGAAAACTTTAACAGAGAACCGAACGCAATGGAGACGTGTGGCTGAAGCCCTATGTTCCTCTAGGAATTAAAGGAAATAATAATACTGCAATTGGGAATAGAGTGTTAAGTAAGAAGAGCACGCTAATCGATCAGGTTGTGATGCGTATCGAATGAGTTGTCTAAGATGTATGTTATACATGACGAGTCATCGCCTTCCTTCCTCAAGAAATGCTAGCCGACATGGGATTAGGTTAGAAAATAGTTGCTGGTGGTCAAATCAAAATCTGTCATCAATCCATGAAGTCTTTGACTGCTGATTTAAGACAGTCAAATAGAAGAGAGGTGCAGACTGCTTGATTCGGATTATTGGAATGTTAAGAACCAGAGGTTGGAGACAATTGGTGGTATTGTGAGGAGAGCTGTCTACTAGCTAAAACTGTAAACAGCAGTTTACGTCTCTAATTGGGGTCATGAGAAAAAACAATAACAGAGCTTAACCCTGTTAAGCTAACTAACCAATCACAGCAGACTTAACGTGTGCAGATATATGGCCTGACTTTCTTAGAACCTGTCACAAGCAGTACAGAATAACCTTCAGCGAGAAAATAACCAATTAGATGTTGCTTCTCTGCTAACAATAACGCTAATAATAATGTACATAAAAATCTATAAATATCTGTTGATTTTCTCAAAAGACGATCTGTTGCCTGGCTCTTGTCTTCTTTAGTTACCGTATGACTCAATGTCGCTCTCACTGGTGGTGTTGACGCATTCAATCTTTGTAATAGCCCATAGGAATTAGATTCTCACGTTTTGCTATGTTACCATGCTTTTTCTCGCATATTTCTGTTTATAACAGTTCTTCTGAGTTCATTTTTCCCTTTTCTCTACATTTTTGTGGCATCTGGAGTGTGACAACTTGAAGTGCTACCCTTCTATGCAAAGATCTGCGTTGAAAATTCATTTTGTCTTTGGCACTTGAAACAATAAATCCTTACGTTCGAGTTTAAGTGAGAATAACATGATCTTTTAGAGCGTAAGTACCGTTCAACTGATGAGTTACGAAGTGAACGAAATGTACAGCATGTATTACACTAGTAGCTACCACAACAACTAACTTGAATTGATGGTGAGGTCCATTTTACTGTCTGAATGGACAATGAACTCGCTTCATAACTTGTAGGCATTGAGTTCGAACTCGAGCGAGTTCATGAGTGCATACTAACGAAGTGTGCCAATTCGCAAAGCTTTCATTGTCCCACCACTAGGAAACAATCTTCGGCGAATACTTCAATTCGATGAAGTGAGCTGTTAGATTTCTCCACAAGTTTATGAGTCATCTCTCTCCTGGTGGGTGACCTTGAACGTCGTGATTAGTTGTTATTATGTGTACCCACACCTTCTAAGGCTAACTTGTATTGGAACTGACTGTTTCCTTGACTTGAACTTGGACCCTTTGTATGTGGAATTTCATTCTTATCGGTAGATAACTTTTGTCTATGTCAGTGTGTCTACTGATTGAAAATTCACTGGAATATCAAGGCTTCTAAAAATTCTCTAACATTCATGACATTTCCTCTGTTTAATATTTGAACGTTATCCGTGATTGTCCGTATATAAAACGATATGTGGGAGTGGATGTCATGTCTTTTGGTGGCTAGCTTATGTTAATAGATACTAAGACTAAGGGACGTCCGCTTTTGCCAATGTATGAATTCTAACTTCTACCAATTCATGATTTATCGCAGCTGCCAACCAATGTCACTTGACTGGATAAACCTCATTGGTCACGACTTCTCACTAGAACTCCGGGAAACTCCATCCTGTAGCAAGTCACTAGCGAGCATGCATATATATATATAAGGAACAAGACTCGCATTTTCAGTAACAATGTCAAGTTGGTCCTCCAATACGGGTAGGAAACTTGGTCAGCGTGTCACAAAAATGATTCCCAACAGTCTACTGCAGAATTTTACCAACAACTGCCACCTTCGCTGGCTGGCTGGCTGGCTGGCTATACTTTGAAGATCAAATGGCCAATCAGAAAGAATTAACTTCAAGAAAGTCTGCAGTGGAACAAACCAAAAGATGAGAGCCGATGTAGGAGAAAGTGGAGATGGATAGATCAGGTATATGTTGAAGTGGCCATCGAATGACATCACCTTTCAATGCAGGCCATTGCTCGAGTGGAAGTGGAATCGGAAGCGGCGACGAGTGGGTGGTCGGCGCGGGGGAGACATGGAGAAGATCGCCTGGTGAGGAGGAGGAGGAGAGAATGGGAGATTATGGGCGATCGTGAGGTAAGCTGAAGAGGACAGCAAAGAAGAGAACAATGCGGAGGTGTTTTGTTGAAGCCTTATGTTCCAGTGGGAACCTAAGGGAATAGTAATAATAATAGTAAATAACAATAATATAAACAAAGCAAGAAGGTTGTCTGTGTGTGTGTGTGAGTACTGGCTTGATATGATCATGAGCTGCAGTGATGAATTGCTCTCGAAACGTGGTTGCATCAGTAAATATTAATTACTGTATAACACAACACTGTGTGACTTTAGCAAAATAACAATTTTATCCATAATGAAATTATACTCTACTACACAGTGCCCAAGCTTTATATTCAAATCAATAATACTTGTCTTGGCCTTTGGTAATGTTCAAAGAGGACATTTTCATAAATCTATTGGTGAGTCAAAAGGATTTAACTAAATACATGTATTGGTTTATGTAGCGATTTGATTGATTGGTTACAGGATTTCTTCATGAGCTGACATCGGTTAGAGAACCATGAGAAAAACCTGTTAGGGAGTACTGGACATCTGTTCATATTGTCCACCTAGTTTGGGACTGTTCGTCAGTACACACCCACACACACACAAGGAATCGAACCAGGACCTTCTGGTTACAAGGCGAGCTAGCTCGTAGACCATTAAGTCACTGGGACCCCATCTAATGGCCAGCCAGCCCATGAATTCTAACTTCTGCCAATTCACGATAATTAAATGCCTAAAATTAATAATTCTTAATAGAGTTTATGGGCCAAGTTAAACTTTCGACA